GTCTAGAGTCTATTTGATAGTGTTTTTAAGCAATTGTGTTGTTTCTTAAAACTAAAAGGAACTAAGGATGTAGCTCAGTTGGTAGAATGCTTGCTTAGTGTGCAAAAGGCCCTGGGTTCAATCCCCAGCATTGCACATTATGAAGTGTGGTTGGTGTATGCCTGTAATCTTAACACTTCGGAGGCAGAGGAAGGGGATCAGAAGTTCAAGGTTACCATTGGCCATATAGTGAATTGGAAGCAAGCCTGTGATACATGAGACTATGTCTAAAAATCTTAATTAAAAAATAAAAACTCAAAGGGTTGAAAATATGGCTCAGTAGTTAAGAGCACATGTTTCTTTTGCAGAGGACCCAGGTTTGGTTGCCAGCATCCACGTGGTGGTTCACAACTGTCTGTAACTGTAGTCCCAGGGGATCCAATGCCCTCTTCTGGCCTTTGTGGGCACCAAGCACACATGTGGCACACAGACACACGTGCAGGCAGATCACCCACACATAAAATGAAATGAATACATGCAGACCCCATGCCTGCCAGGTCAGTCCCTGTGAGCCCACATGAGCCCTGCTTAGGTGGTTCTGTGGGCCACGTTTCCCTGGCCACACCCTGTTTTATACGCTACTTTAGATCAAACCTGGCACTTCCTGCATACAATTCAGGCACGCTGCTGTCTGAACTACGTCCTCAGCCGTCCTGTCTCAACTCTCGAACCCATGTTGTTTCTTCAGTGAAATTTGAGTCTCATACTTGGGAGACAGTTTACTGAAGAAAGCATTTGCTGTGCAAATATGAGAGCTGGAGCCTGGATCTCTAGCACCCACATACATGTTGGGTGGGTGTGGAAGCCCACCTGTAATCCCAGTGTGCAGGAGAAGGAGACAGGAAATCCCCAGCGTAAGCTCGATGACCAGACTAGCTAAATGGGCAAGCGCTGTGCTCAGTGAGAGACCCTTACTCGGTATCCAAAGTGGAGGGTGGTTAAGGAAGATGCCTGATATTAAACTCAGGCCTCTACACACACACACACACACACACAGTCAAAAGGTCTGAGTGTGGTGTGTATTCCACACAGAGGAAACTCAAAATGAAAGACTGTATCTTTGTACATTGAGTAAGATGTTTCCCACAGTATCCCTGCGACTGCTACAAAGCTGGTTCCTCCACTGTCTGGTGTGTGCCTGTGTGTTCCTGGGAAGCACCGTGGCCCTTCTTCTGTGACCAATAATGTGCAGGGGGGAAATGACACGGAAAGCTGAAAATAGCATTTCCACAGAAGGGGAAATGTTGACGCGGCGTGAATGGAACAGCCTCAGAGGCTAGCTAGAGGCTGAGGCCTCATGTACCCTGACTGAGAAACCCTCAGCTTTCTGTCCCTGCTCCCAGCACATGTGCCAAGAGCTCGGCCCCCCTGACCTGCACTCAAGTCCCTGTGCTGATGTCATGGAAAGCCCTGCTTGCTGAAGCCTTTACCCAGGCAGAAACCTGACTTTCTAGCCACTGGAGTACTCAGGGTCTATCCCTGAGTACCTGCATGAAAGTACTGCCGTGTCTAGTTGGGGTAAAACTAGAACCAGCCAGTGCTGAAGGCCCGAACCCAGTACCTCAAGACTCAGCCAGCTCCTCTGCTGTCTTCTTTGTCCTTACAGTCCGCCCGCTACTCCTGGACTTCCTTCAGTCTCTCTGGCCCAGGTCAACTGGAGCTACACCTTCTCCAGGTTCGGCCTGCTTCGGAGTACCTGGCCGAGAGCAGCCCAAGCACCCCAGAACCAATCCTTTCTTTTGTGTTCCAACCTTTCCTTACCTTCGCCTGGACATTCACACAGGTACCCCCTCCCCTTCAGCAGGATGTGTCCTGCACGACTTTACAGGGTGTGTACATCACGATGGCTCCAAGGCACACATTCTCTCTTACCTGTTCCCTGAACCATGAGATGCCAACATTCATCTGTAGCTCCCCTCCAAGACCCTACCACACACATCTCAATCCCCCCCCCAAAGTGACTACAGGGGAAACTGAGGCAAAAGAACACAGATAGAAAGAGAAAAGGCATGCTTTCAGTAACTGGGAAACACCGATGTTCCTCCGTTATGATGGGGTGACATCCTGACAAGCCCCACTGTAAGTTGAAAACTCATTTAGTACTCTGACCTACTGAGCTACAATGTAGTGAGATGTCACACCTGGGGTAGCACACCTTGTGACACTGACCTGTGATAAGACAATGGTCTCACAGCCTCCCTCTGTCCAGTGTCTTGAAAGGTGGTCACACCACGAAGTGCTGGCTGAAAAGAAGTTTAAAATTAAACATCTGAAGTACAGTTCCTACTGAATGTTTATGTCTTTCATGTCACCTCTAAGTCATAAAATCGTACACGGAGCCCTCCCGAACAAGACAGTCTTACTTCCATGGACTCGCTTCACCTTAGTCCTTCTGCTGTTCTCCATGCCTACCCCAAGAATTTGTGTGTAGAGCCAGAAAACCTTTTAGATGTTCTTCAGGAAGCACATCTGTACATGAAGTTTCTAGAAAAAGACAAGGACAGGCTAGTTTTCCAGAACAGTCTTGGTTCTCGTGTCTATTGTACAGGTGTCCTGACAACTCAACATTTGTCCCAGACAGTGCATTATACCATCCGACAACTGTAAAGCACAAAGCGCCTGCCCGGGTGCTCAGGGCCACTCCTCTGGGGAGTTGTCCTTGGCAGAGTGGCTGTGTTCCCCTCCTTTGCCCTTCCACCCTTCCCTAATCCTTTTTCGAGACATTCTAAATTCTAGAGGGAGGCTCCACCTAAATGTCTAAGATGTTAACTGCTAAATAATTCTTTCCGTTTACAGAAGCCAGAGCATCTGGTGACCTTTGTATAGGGCTGTCTTCGGTCTTCCGTTCTTCCATGGACCTGACAACATTCAGCATACAAACCCATGTGAGGTTCAACTTGCAGAGAAGTATATGTCTAGCCACAAAGAACTATAGTACTCAGTGGCCACATGGGTCACCTCCTTGGCAGTGCACAAAACATTGCTTATGGTGCCCAAAGGGACCCTGGGGACCCTGTTTTCCACCAAATGTTTGTGTCTCAAACTCGTGCTGTCCCCATCTAGGCTAAAGAGAAGTACAGGGGGTACCTTTGGGAAACCCCAGAGCCCGGTAGCCAGGGTTCACACTAGCCAAGTCATCACGGCCATCTACCATGTGACTTAAGCCCAAGGCAGGATCAAATTCAAGTTCCCTGGCAACATCTCAACATCTTCACCAACTTGAATGTGGAAAGATCTAAAGACGTGGTAGGTGAGGAACCACTCATCTCCAGTGGCTTTGGGGTCAAATAAATCCCCAGTTGTGATCCCCTGGACAGGTTGTGAGCCCTGGCCTTGTGGATGCTTTTACATCACAGCCCCTCCTTCATCGTGCTCTCCAATAAATACCACAACCTGTCAAAAAAACCAAAAAGAAGAAAAAGAGCTGTAGTAGCTAACAGCAAGGGGTGGAGGGCCACAAAAGTGTTCCAAAGAACAAAGGAGACACACTCTGGGTGACAAAGGCCTGCTGGACAGATGGCCATCTTGCTGCGCATCTCTTTTCCCTCCCTAGAGAAGTCCTGTGTACTTCCAAGCTCCCCAGAATAGAGCTGTAAGGGTGGCTTATGACCTTCCATCACTTCAGGGTCAGACTAAACTTGATTCCTCCTGATAATTCTTGTCTCCTGAACACTGTCCTTCAAGAAACAAGCCTCATGGATCCTAATCCAGTAACACAGAGACTGAGAGCAAGCAGCATCCGCTTATTGTCCAGTAACACAAACATAAACACCCTTCAACTAGGCAGTTACTGTGTGTATATACTAAATACATGTGCCTATAATGTAAGCCTATGCTCTTCTACATACATCCATGACTGGGCGCTGGAAACCCAGACCCAGATTTGGAAACATCAGACTCGGGTTCACCTGCTTCCCTAGCCAGGTAAACTTCTACCCTATTTACTGTTCCTTAAGACCTCTTGTCGTAAACCTGGCCTATTGTGATAAGAGAAGTCCTGGTGTCACAAAGCCACTCCTTTGGGGAGTTGTCCTGGGCAGTTTACCAGCTTTGCCCCCCCCCAATGCTCTTGCCCTTCCCTAAGCCTTTTACGTCACTCTCTCGCTTTTGCCCAGCATTCTAAATCCTAGAGATAAGGTCACCCGAATGGCTAAGATGTTAACTGACATAAACGTTTTCATCAGCTTTATAGAACCTGAAGCTTCCTGTGACCCTTGTAACCCATTTCCTCCATCTTCAGTTCTGGGCATCCACTAGCAGAAAGCATGTCAACCGAGGTAAGATTTAACCTGCAGAAACATGATATGCCGCTCCAAAAAGAATTACAGGAGCTGGTTTCAGGAGGTGCAGGATCATTATGATGCGTTGAGAAGAAGAAGAAACAAGAGATATACTCTGAGTAGTGAAGATGCCACTCAGGGTCCTGCCCTGCTTCTTCCTCTCTGCAGAATCCCTGTGCACGCTTAAATCCCACAAGGTGGAGCTTTGACAGCGTTGCAAGCCTGTCCATCTCCTTCAGAGCAGCCCTTGGATAAACCTTATTCCTTCCCACCGATTTTTTTTCCTAAATATTGACCTTCAAGCGGTGGTCAGCCTGGACTTTGCCACAGTTACCCTGGAGCAAGTAGGAGGATGGTGAGGCAAGGAATGAGCCTGACCTGGGACCTGTTAGATATGAATGGTTCGCCTAACTAGATCACCTGGATCTACATTTTCCGAGAATTCTTTCAGGAGTAGTCTTCACAAGCACTGACTATCAGAAGTGCTGTTCTAGGAGGCAGACCCTCTGGAGAGGGTTCTGGTCACCAACAGAGCCTTCTGCCGGCCTGCGTTAGTCTCTTCTAGCAAATCCCGACACCTTCCCAGGGCCTCACACCTCTGTGTCACCACGGTGACAGGCCCCTCAGCACTTGACAAAGCCTCTTGCAGGAAATGATATTTTTCCCAAAGGAAGAGGGAAAGGGGCGGGGAGAGAAAACCGCCTTGTACACTAAAATTTTAGGACAGGAGACGGAGAAATGAGAGGAAAAGAAGAGGGGAGGGGGGAAGGGCGAGGGCCCTGCTTCTTCCCCTCTGCTTCCCTGGTTCCTTCCTGGGAGACTCACGCCAGGGCTTCCTGTTGGCTTTCCCCATGACTAAAGTGCACGGGTCCTGCCTCATCACGGCCGCTGCCCGCTTGGCTGCCTCTCCCCAGTTCCTCCAGCGTCCTTAGAGTCCGGTGGGCCTGCAGACCTGGCACACAGCACGCCCACCTGCCTTTGTCACACCCACACCAACGAGGGTTCTCTGTGGTGGCCTGGCAGGCTAGAGGGCTGCTGGGTGTGCAGACGTTCAAGCATGGAAGGGTCCATCCAGCTCCTGGCTTGCTTGGCATGTGTCCTCCAGATGGGTGAGTCCCCCTACTTATTCTGACCCAGAATAGAGAAAGCCTTAGCTGTGGTCTCCTGCCCTCAAAACTCAGCGGCTGCGTTTGCCCACAGCCTCCAGGTCTGTGCAGGAGAAAAGCTATGTGTATCAGAGGGCTGTGGGGACTGAGGGCAGAGAGCCGAATCGTGGCCTTGTCTTGGGCTTCTAAGTGACTTGGGGCAGTGCCCTGATTTCGTGTGCCTCAGTGTTCACCACTATACAGAGGCCACATCCCTAGCGTTTGCTGTGAGGGGAGAAAATCCCTAGAGTGAGGAAGAAGGTCCCAGCTCGGGACAGAGGTTGAGTGTCGCTGTCACCCCAGGGACAAGGACACCACGAGCTTGTGGTGTGCAGGGACAAGGGTGAGGATGGTTCTGTGTGAGGAATCAGCAAGGACAGAGGCTGCATTAACCTGCTAACGGGAACACTGCGGGGTGAGTGGAAAGTCTTCCCTGGGAACAGGGACTTCTCAAAGGATGCTGCCGGGTCTGCCTGCTTCAGAATCAGGGGGGCACATTAGTTAAAATGCAAATTCCTGGGCTCCATCCATGATCTGCAGAATCAGAATATCAGGTAGCAAGACCCAACATTGCCAGCCACCTCTCCAGGAGAGGCCAGTGCCCAGGGTGATGGAGAGTGGCAAAGTCAAATCTCAGAAGCCCTTCTCTCCCCAGCCGTCCTTCCCCACCCCAGCCGGGGACATCCCTCTCATAATTGCTCCTAAACAGTGTCTATGCCATCAATGCCACGTGTGCCACATGCTGGCATGATGACATTCTGAGTTATCAGTCAACTTTCCCCGTGTGGGGCCCGGGTAGAGCTGATAGATGAACCTTGGTGTGTCTGGCTTCAGCCCTCTTTCCTCCAACTCATGTCCTGCCATCCCACAGTAGTAGAGACGGTGATCAGTCAGGGCTGTTTTTCCTTCAGGGGATCCAACTCAGAAGTGTTTCTCTGAGGGCGGGATCTAAGGGGTTAATCAGGCCCCAACCTGGACTGGCAGGTCTGTGAATGGCTAAGGACAGAGAAATTGATATCAGGTGCAAACTTCAGGTACCAGTCCTGGTATTCACAAGCTATGAGAAGGCCAGTTATCTAACTCTCCTAAGCCCGAAAGAACTGGTCCCTGTCACTGAGATCACTGAGGCCAGGAGGAAATGGGATAGTTAAACAAGAAGGTCTTTCCTGTTCCCATCAAGCATTGTGGGAAAGTCTGAGGAACTGAGGAACCCTACTTAAGAGAAGGACAGAAGCAGAGCAGAACCAGAACCACCCTGAAGACCAGGACAGGGACCAGCTACATGAACACCACCCTATGGTGGGCACTGCCTCTCCATCAGCTCAGGTGACTGACCGGGTCACGTGCACAGCCATATCACACCCACATGGCTGGAGAAACAGGGCTAAAGGGGATCCCTGAAGAGAGATGGAGACTAACCAGACCTTCTACTCACACCCCTCAGACTCGCCCATTCTGGAACCTTCTAGGTCTGTCCTTACAGGATAGAATTTCTGCTGTCCACATCTTCCCTCTCTGGACTCTTCTCCACTGACAAGCTGCTCTGCCACCTACAAGGTCAAAGTGATAATGGCTAGAGGGAGCTCAAGGACGGGAGAGCCAGGTAGGACAAGGTCGGTGAACAGCAGCATACCCCAGCTAGAGCTGCCACTCGTTGGTGAAGTTTATGACTAGGCTGAACATAGCTTTTTGCCCCCAAACCTGTCCCTCTGGGTGCCACAATGCCCAAGAGACCACCACTGGAGCCACTCTTGAGAACACCTCTGCTAGCACACCCAGGCAGTTTTGAGGAAAACAGTGCCATGGAATAATCCTTCTGTATGCTGTGAATATGTATTATGCTCACTGGTTCATACAAAAGCTGATTGGCCTATCGCAAGGCAGAATAAGGCTAGGCAGGGAAGCCAAACTAAAAATGTGGGGGGGAAGAAGGGCAGAGCCAGACGCCCAGGAAGCAAGACGTGATAGAGGACAGGTAAAGCCACGAGCCACGTGACAATACATAGATTAATAGAAATGGGACAATTTAAATGTAAGGGCTAGTTAATAATAAGCCTTAGCTATTGGCTAAGCATTTGTAATTAATATAAGCCCCTGTGTGTTTATTTGGGACCAGGCAGTCTGGACAGGAAACTCTGCCTACAAAACAGTGCCTTGCCCACCAGGAGGTTCACTTTCCTGTCTGGACCATCCCAGGAGACCTTTAATGCTTGAATAGTGCCTGTCCCTGCTCCACCACAAACTGATAAGCAGTAAGTGTGACTGTGTCCAGCACCTCATAGATGTCAACACAGACTCCTTGCAAATCCCTACCTCCTTTCTCACCGTGGGACTGCTGGAAATCTTTGGCCAGCTGTGGCCAAAGCAAAGGTTTCCGATTCTGATCCAGTTTGGATTCTCCCTCCCACCTTTTGTGTCTGGGTTCTTTCTCCTTCCTACTTCAGGGAGCCTTTGGGATAGTGCATCAAATTACCCCAGCTGCACCCCGATGATGAGGATGTGGCCACTTTGAGGGGCCTATGGGAGCATCATTGGACCATGTGGTACACAGCACAAAGGAGCTGAAAGGTGTGAACACATCTTTTCTAGTAACTGTTTACTGGTTAGCTAGTGGCTTACTTTTAAGTTCCTAAAAGTTTTTAACTAGACATATTTCTAAAATATTTTATGTAGTGTCAATTTTACCCCAAATTTGGCTTTAAGGTTTAGGTGATTTTTTTTTTCTTGATTATTTTTTTTAGTGGTTTGAGAGTCTTATCATATAATCCAGGTTGACCTGCGACTTACTATGCAGCCTAGGCTGGCCTTGAATTTAAGATCTCCCTGCTTCGGCCTCCTGAGGACTAGGACCATCAATTTTGAAAGCTAGGGAAAGATAATTCCACATGGACAGTCATCACCATGGGCTGACTGTGTCTGGGGGGCTGCAGGGGAGGATGGCATTAGAGCAGTGAGAACTGGCATGCCCAGCTAGCCAGAATTTTAGACCTAGTCACTTGAGTAAACATCCAGAAATAGTATTTCATGGAGGAGCTAGCAAGCCAACAAGCACAGAGCCTCACGTAAGGTCCCACCACCAACTTTGGAGCCAGGGCTGGAGCCCCTGCCTCTCCATCCAAGGGGTACACCACTGAAACACAACAGCGTCAAGGACAGTGAACTTTCATCCTGGTGCACCTGTCTGCGTGGCCACGATGACTCAGAACCCTCTAGATTTATTCTTCTTCCGAATGGCACTCTAGGCTGGTCCCTTCGGCCCGACACGAGGTCACGGTGAGTCACGGCTCTACGGCATTCCTCCTGTAAACAATGGTTTTACTGTATCATTGCCGCTCTGTGATTTCACTGTTTCCACGGACTCCTTCCAGGCTTAGTGAATGTCAGGTGTCAATCCTTGCTGCCTTAAATGGCCTCACAGAAGCCACTCTCTGGCTTTTCAGTTTATATTTTCTTACCAGAGTTGGAATGGTCACCTAGGTTCAGCTACGTACACCAAAGCTGGCATGCACCTACCAACCCTGGGGGCCCAATCACTGGAGGCAGACACTTGGGGCAACAAGAAGAATGTGGGCTTCCCATTGACCCCTGGAAGTTGCCGGACACATGGCAGACAGAGAGACTCTGCAGAAAGCGCCACATTCCCAGTCATCCCTGCCTCTTCTCAGCAGGCAGTGGGGAGCTGCCAGAGGCAGTAAATGTCCCCAATGCCAGGAGCTAGGACCTCTGCCAATGCAAATGTCTTTGTTCTCTGGACAATACCTGCTAAAGACTGCTCACCTTCACCTTGAATCCTCTGGGTGGGCCCATCCAAAGGCCTCTGCCTAAGAGAATCCAAGCATCCATTGCTCCTTCGAGCCCACTCAGAAGCGGCGAAGCACCTCTCTGCTAACGGGAGCCAGGATGGTGCCTCGGGGTGAAAGGGTCTCTATGTGAGAGGAAACTCCACCTGGGCCTGCTGTTCAGATCACATTTTAGAATATGTCACAGCAGGATACAGACCTGCGTGGAATTCACAGAGGCGTGTTGCCTGACATTAGAGTGACTAAGTTAAGCCTCTCTTGCCATTTTCTTACGCCAAAGCTAATGGAAACAGCACACCACCAGCACGCCTCCCCTGGCAGCAGAACCTCACTACAAGGCTACCTGGGATTCTGGCTGCCTCTGCCCACGTTTGATGTTGCTCTGGTATTTCCGAGTTCATCGTGGCAGTAGGTAGCTGGGGGCATTTTCCCCAAACTTCAAGGCAAAGGTGTATTTTTCTTTTCTTGCAAGCCCCTCCCTCTTTGGGGATTTTTACCTTTCAAACCTTAAATGTTACTATCGCTGGCCTCAGGCATGATGGGCAATGAGCAGGGGAAGAGCCAGCGGAGAAGCGTTGCAAACCTCCTGTGTGAGCTGAAAGGCATCTGAACGTGCAGTGGGTGTGAAGGCTGGGGAAGCCGCAAGGAAATGCGGTGTTTTACTGCCTTTTAAAATACTGCATTAAAATAATACTGCCGCCTTTAAAACGATCTGGTTCTCTTTGGAATTTAAAATTGTTCCTGTGCAGCTTATTTTATTTTTTGTTTAGTCAAACAAACAGAAGATTTTTCCGTGGGGGAACAAAAGAGACTACTTTACAACTGTTCTTAAGTGACTGAGCATGGAGGTTAAGGCAGGAATATAAAGAACGGAAACCAAACCATCCAGGGGCAAGCCAAGGCTCCGCTGCCAGTCAGCCACCAACAGACCTCGCCAGGTCACTGTGAGCTCTACAAGCCCCGGTTCCCCTTCTCGCAAATGGGCCAATGACGACATCTCATGAGATGAGGAATGACGCCCAACAAACACCGTCTTCAGTAGTTTGGCCTCCATGCCCCATCATGTCTTCTGAGTCCCAGTGATGTCCATGCCTCACGCTTCCTTTTTCTAGTGTTTTGAGACAGGATTCCCTGTATCTGGAACTCCCCGCGTAACTAAGAGTGGCCTGAACTCCCAGTGCTCTTCACCCCAAGGGCTGGGGGTATAGGCACACACCGCCATGTCTTCCAGGTGCCATACCTTATGACTTGGTTCCCCTCTTCCTTGTGCACAGACTGTTGCCCCGGGTCTTGGTGGAATTTCCTACAGTCTCTGGGCTCTGCACGCATGTACCTCCTCTCTGATGGGCTCCACAATCCCTGCCTGCTGTACACAATCCCCATATATTCTCTATATCAGCCCCCATCCTTCTGACAGCCTGACCTGACCCCCTTTCATCCCAGGGTACAGGGGAGAGATGCCAGAGCCAGGTTCGGGGCTCAGAGAAGAATATTCTGGCAGGGGTGATTCCATAGAGAACAGGGTTTGAATAGGAGGGAGCCGGTGAGTGAAAGCGGGTTGGGAACCACGTTCAGACAAAGGCAATATTGTTTGTATCCTTCAGTGGAGCACCTGGCAGCATGCGGCATAATTACATGTTCACTGATCTTTCTCCACCTAGCTCCAGCAGGCTGATAGGGTATCCTGTTCATCCTTGTCTCCACAGCTCATACCCCAGCACCTGGCATGGAGCACAGAGGGATCCAGTAAATGTCTGCTGAGTTGATGAATGCACACTAGCAGACAATGTGTAGGCGATCCCTGCCTGACCCCAGGAGCCCGCAAAGGTCAAAACAGGCTAAGGTCACAGAGTGTAGGAAGCACAGGGAAACAGATAGGGGCTGAGGCTGCACATCTATAATCCCAGCTTCTAGGAAGATGAGGCAGGAAGACTTCAAGTTCAAGGCCTGTTTGGACTACAAACTAGGACCCCGCCTCAACAACAACAAAAATCAAGTGAGCATGGTGTGAATGCCTGTAGTCCGGCACTCAAGAGAGTACAGCCAAAGAGTGACTAAGTTTGAGTCAGATTGGAATATACAGTGAATTCCAGGTCAGCTTGAGCTACCTTGTCAGAAAGACAGGCGACAGACAGACAGACAGACCTGAGAAGACTTTCTTCAGCTAGAAGGACTGACTGGATCGGCACAGACTTCCGTTTTCTCAAATTTGAAAAGCAGCCCTTTGATAACGAACAACTGAACAAACAAGTTCTTACTAAGGATAAATGTTAAGCCCTCTACTTGAATTCAAACATGTAATTCAACTTGTCCAGAGCGAAAGAGATTAAGCCAAAAAAAAAAAAAAACCAGCAGGTGGCATGAAAAAAGAGCTGTGGTTTAATTTGATGATCTTCTGGCTGTGTGCCCACAGCAGGACGCCACTGGAGGTGCAGCACCTCAGCCCAAGAGCTCACAACACTCTACAGGAGCCACACACTAGGGCCACCTGGGCCTGGGTTTGAACTGAAAGGCAGAGGGGGGAGGGGCAGGTGAAGGAGCCAGCCTCTCCCATCAGGAAAAGGTAGTGAGTCCCAGGGTAGCCACAATGAGCTCCTACGAGCGCCAGCGTGGACCGGTACGTGTCCCTGCAGCAACAGCAGGTCTGGAGTGCTTCTGTGCAGGAAGACTACCTTGTCTGTCCATCCACAGGTGTGCCGACTCCACGGGAGCTGGGCTGCCAGTGGAGGCCTGAGGATATTCCTACCCAGAAGTCAATGAGGCTAGCCGACCACAAACAGCACTGGGCGCAGCATCGGGGAAAACTGGCTTTTTCTCTTTCCTGCTTGCCTGACATTGGCCTACCATTTATGCTTCTCTAACAATCCCCGTCTTGTCTTTTGCCTCTTGGATGCTCTCAGGGCGGATGGCGTGGTGTATATAAAGGAATTGTGGATAATACAATTCTAAGTATTCCCTGTAAAGGTCCCTTTTGTGCACTGTGCCCCGGGGCACCGGCTAGGCAGGCTCAACCACCTGCCTCCTCTGGGGGAGGTACCACCCCTGCCATAAGCCACTGAGACTGAGCACCTGCACCCTCAAAACCACAGCAACCCCGAGGTTTGCCAGCACTGGGCGGGTGAACTGGAGACAGGGTTCAGCTTCTGCCCCCACATTCTGAAGAATGTTCACTGGGTAGAAGATAGGACAAAGGAGTCTAGACCCCCCCAGGCCCTCTCTGCAGAGAGAGGAGGCAATACAGCACCCAGCTCTCTGGTCTCACTTTCTCTGCATGGACACTAGCCATGTAAGAAGCCAACCCAGGACACAGTCCTCTTGGGCTGATCCTGATTCTAAAGGAATTGTTCCTACCAACTCAGCACTGTTTAAAAGCAGTCCCCTCCCAAGGCCTGGGTTTCTCCTCGGCAAATCAGACTGTTGGCGCCTTCAGACGAATCCACAGCTTCAATCCTTTAGGGCACTGTAATGGAGGCTGTGGATCCAGGCAGGTCTGATGTGAACACTGGCTTTGCCTCGACCTAGCTGTGACCTCACTTATTTAACTTCTTTCTGCCTCGGTTTATTAACATGTAACACGGTATCTATGCTTGTCTCTAGGATCACTTATGAAAACTAGAAGGGATGCTCTAGGGGATTTACTCAACACAGAGGCGCACAGTAAGTGATTTTACCATCTTAAGGATCTTGTAATTATGGAATAACACAGTGTTTCAGCAACTGCACACACAGGTTTCTGATGGGGAGAAATACTAAAGAGTTGTGTGGATCACTAGGTCATACACCATGAATGAGGCAAACCGTCCCAAGGAAGGGTCTGGAGAGATCTCCATCCCGTCCCCTTGCCTTTAGCCCTGGTATAGGTCTAGGGAGGGTTCCAGCCAAAATGAACTGAGGGCTGCCTGAGTCCTAGTGTTTACAGCACCCCTCAAAGGTGGAGGGTGGGGATATGAGATGCAGCCAGAGGGCGGGGACCGGGTCTCCCCAGGCTAGGTCTGATGTGTCCCTGGCCGGCAGGCGCGCCGGAGCAGCGCTGGTCCATGCAGGTGCCCGCCGAGGTAAGCGCGGAGGCGGGCGACGCGGCGATGCTGCCCTGCACCTTCACGCACCCGCACCGCCACTACGACGGGCCGCTGACGGTCATCTGGCGCGCGGGCGAGCCGTACGCGGGCCCGCAGGTGTTCCGGTGCACCGCGGCGCGCGGCAGCGAGCTGTGCCAGACGGCGCTGAGCCTGCACGGCCGCTTCCGCCTGCTGGGCAACCCGCGCCGCAACGACCTGTCACTGCGCGTCGAGCGCCTCGCCCTGGCGGACAGCGGCCGCTACTTCTGCCGAGTGGAGTTCGCCGGCGACACCCACGACCGCTATGAGAGCCGCCACGGGGTCCGGCTGCGCGTGACCGGTGAGGCGGGCTGGCTGCCGAGGGGCGTGGGCCCTACTGGGTGCCAGGGAGGCCTCTGAGAACTTGGTAGAAATGCAGAGTTCAGATCCCAGGAAAGGGTGGGCTGGGGCTGGTAGGTGGTGTCCTGATGCCGGTAAACACTGGTAGCTCATAAGGAAGGAGAGAAAAAACAACCAATAATCCTAAAGGCGGCAAGGGGTGCAGTAGGAGGTGCGCCACCTGCACTGAAGAATTTCTCACCCCACCCCCACCCCTGCACCTCCCCTGTTCCTAGAGCACTATGCTGCAGCTGGCCCCCTCCCTGGGTCATGACCCTTTGGTGAGCACCAGCTGCAAGCCCAGGAGTCTGGGCAACACACAAGTATTAGTTTGCCAAATCTCAGTGACCCCTTAAAATAAAGGCAATTGTGATTACCAGTGTGCACACGGAGAAACTGAGGCGAAGAAGAGAAATAGGTTGCTAAGACCCCGCACAGCTGCAAAAGGACCCAGGCAGTGTGGCGCCCAGGAGTCCCGCTCTTCCAGCTTGGAAGTCGCTACCCCTTGCCTTACCAAACCGTCGCCTCTCTCACGCTCCCGGGGCATTGTCCTCTGTCCGGTGACCCGCACCCTCCTTCTTCTCCCTGCAGCTGCACCCCGGATCGTCAACATCTCTGTGCTACCCGGCCCCTCGCACGCCTTCCGCGCGCTCTGCACCGCCGAGGGGGAGCCCCCACCTGCCCTCTCCTGGTCCGGCCCCGCCTTGGGCAACAGCTCGGCTGCGGTGCGGGACCAGGGTCGCGGTTACCAGGTGACAGCCGAGCTGCCTGCGCTGACCCGGGATGGTCGCTACACATGCACTGCAGCCAATAGCCTGGGCCACGCGGAGGCCAGCGTCTACCTGTTCCGTTTCCATGGCGCCCCCGGAGGAGCCTCGACTCTGGCGCTCCTGCTCGCCGCGCTGGGCCTCAAGGCGCTGCTGCTGCTTGGCGTTCTAGGTGCGCGCGCCACCCGCCGACGACTAGGTGGGTGCACCCCAGATTTGGGTGGGTGCGAGGGGGAGGACAGGTGTCCCCTCCTCTTTCTGGCGGACCACCTGGCATGGCACATCAGAACGTCCTTCCTCCACCCTCACCAGCTAGGTTCCTTCTCTGCCTGCAGCCCCGGAGGTGGGACCTGCTGGAGGCTCTATGCAGCAAGGAAGCTGAGCTCTGCAAAGTACCTTGCTCTTTGCAGTCACACAGATGGTGACCCAGTCCTGACAGCCGTAGAACAGGTTATTTTTTAATCACCACGCTACAAATCAGTGTCCCAAAAAGGTCGGGGCCTCAGGCTTCCGCTTACATTGTAACTAGCATCTTGAGGCCCCGAGGTCCTGCGCCGTGATGCTGAGGACACAAAGATGCCAGGATGTGATTCTCTACCAGCCTGTGAGAGGCTGAGTTTGCAGAGCTTTGCAGTACCCCACCCCCGGAGAAGGGCTCCCACAGACTCCAGAAACTGTAGAAGGCAGAGGACATCCTGCTATTCTGAGGCCTTAATAAGTGAGGCGAGAACTAAGCTTAAAAAAACGTAAGGACATGTGAGCTTGGAAAACATGAATGGGACACCTGGCTGGGGAACCCATTCACTTTTAGAAAGCCTCTCCACGCTGCTGTCCCTGACGTTGGTGGGGCATCTGCTTGATGAGCACCCGGGAGAGGGAGGGGCTTTCTCAGAGCCTTTCAGTGCTCCCAGACTAATGAAGTTACCCTCAAATTCTACAGGGATGAAACGCAGAACGGGTCGCAGGGCCCCAGCCGCTAACTTTGCTGTGACGCTGCCATTCTTGCTGGTTTCTCAAACAAGCGCCTTGTGTTTCAGGGTCCTCCCTCAGAAAGGCAGTTTTGCTCTGTGGGACCACATCTCCCTTAACTCCCACAAGTGCACTCCTATTCATCTATCAGATGAAGGCTTCAGAGTCACTCCGGCTAGCTATCCATCCGATCGATGCCTGTCGCACAGTGGGGTGGGGACCACTTCCCACAGTCAGGTGTGCAGCCGGCATGTAGGTTGGAGGCTACAGTGTAAAATCACACCTGCTCTTTCTCTGTCTCCCTCACACAGATCACCTGGTCACCCAGGACACCCCTCCACGGTAAGTTTACTTACTGCCCTTCCCACCCCACCCCTGCCTAGTTTCATTGGTCCAGGGATGTCAGTTTCTCAGAATTGGTAGTATGAGAAGAAAGAAGAGGCCTAGGGCGAGGTTAGGGTAGTAGGCTGGACCAGGGCCAGCATCGTGCCCAATGTACCCTGCCCCTCCATCCAGCATACCATTCTCGGGACAGAGTAGGCCATGCTGGCTTGTCACCCCGACTCAACACACAAGGAGCTTGGTGTCTGTGACCCTAAAAGTTAATACCACCAAGCTGTTTCCTCTTGTTGCTCCCAGCATTCTAGAAAAGAGCCCTGTAAGAATGCCATCATAGGAAGACTCGTTTTCCCAAGTTTATCTTTGCTTCCCAAACAAGATCACTAAGAACCTGGTTTAGATGAGGGATCTAGAAAGACATCAACCAGCCTTCCATTCTTTCCTCTTCAGTGTCTTCCCCAGTAAAGGCCCATGTCGAAGGAGAAAGAATTCAATGCCAGAGCTCTCTGCCCAGTGCCGGCTGAGGGAATCAACTCTTCCCTGCTCAAGTCTCACAACCTGTCATACATGTGTTTCCTTTATTGGAAGACAAGACCAAAGTCACAACACTACCTGTAGTCCACACTCACCTAACAAATACTTACTGAATACCTACTATATGGCAGGCAATAATTTGGATGCTAATGAGACAGGAAAAAAATCCAAACTTGCACTCCAAGGTGTACAGTTTTTCACAAGCAAGACCATCTGGGATTGTTGAGTTGTAACAGGAATTGGACCAGGTGATCAAGCAGAGTCCCAATATGTGGCCAGTTGGCTATGACTCCTTTAGATCAGGCCATTTTCTCTGAAGATCTAAAGAGATCACACTAGAGGGTGGAGCCTAGGGAGGCCAAGATGGTAGGGATATATATCCCAGGAGTAGAAAGTAGAAAGGTCAGGTGGGATGTGGGAGGGAGGGAAGCATGGGGTAGGGCGTGGAAATATGGGGTGGGCTGGCAAGGTTGGGGGTAATTCTAAATGAGGTGGAAGTCAGAATGCTTTGGGGTCCTGTGTGAGAGGTCACATTGGAACAGAGGGGTCCTCGAGGGAGACCCAGAAGGAGGCTGCTGTTTCTCCTATTCTGACAACATCCAAGGGAAGGCACTGAGTGTAAGGGAGGGAAACAGGACACTAAGGTTGGAGCCAAGCCCTGGTCACAGAGATGAGGAGGGAAGAAGGGGGGAAGGGGAGGGTGTGTGCTGTGCTTAGAACAGGTGATGGGAGGTTGGAGGTGTGGGTGTCGGGAAAGCAGTCAGACCTGGGGACATTGGGGGCATGGAGCTGGTTTTTGAAGCCCCTGAGAACGTCACTTTGTAGGAGATGGTAAGCATGATCCGGGATGCTGTCACCTGCAGCATCTTCCTGTCCTATATTAATCAACCTTGCTGGTTCTGGCTCCATTGCCTCCCATACAGTGTCTTCCTTGACCTGTTACTGGGACATAGCTCGGGAAGTCAAGCCAAACATTGGATGGTAAGTCAATTTTCTCCTGCCTGCAGGTCTCAGGCTCAGGAGTCCAATTATGAAAATTTGAACCAGATGAACCCCCCAGGCCACCAGCTGCCACGTGTTTGCCGTGAGGAACTCCTTGGGCATCATCAACCAGTCGTGCACCATGAGAAATGAAAGACACTACCAGGCTAGACCTGCACAGCTCCTCCTAATTCCCAGGTTTCTTGGCAGCTGTGGGCCAGGTAACTTCCAAGGGGACCCAGGACGCTGCTCACAGAGGCTCAGAGCCCTGCGGTATTATGCCATGGAGCCAACAATCTGGATGTATATGTATATGTATGCCCACATGAGCCTCAGCACGAAACTTCTGGAAAAACTACTTTGTATTTTTCTTACTTAGAACTACATAGTAAAGCAGATGGGAAACTAGCCATAAGGTCTAGAGGTCCAGGCTCCAGCCTGCTCTGGCACCAACTTGCGGTATAGACCAGGAGACTTTCTTCACATCTCTGGGCCTCAGATTCTCCACGACTGGCCAGTTTGTCTAGAACTGAGGAAAGAGTAGATGTGACGGAGCAGTTAAACTACAAATCTGTCTCAACCGTGGGCCTTTGGACATGGAGAATTGAGATAAGTGTGGCACCGCTCAGCCTTTGGAGACCGAAGCACCCAGACAACAAGCCTGGGGCTGGAGCTGTGCCCAGAGGAACCGCCAACCCTGGAAACTTGATAGCAAGAAGAGGCCTGGAGCCTTCTGAGAGCTCCACAGGGACTGTCCCAGCCCTCTGCTCAACTGAGGTCCTATCAGCTGATCCACACTGCTTTGAGCTGGGACCTACCAGGAGAAGGAAACCGAAGACCCCTTATCTCAAAGCATCTGGAAGCCATATGTCAAGATCTGGGAGACCTGAAGGGGCACTGGGCTCTAGAGAATATGGCAGCTGTGGCTCTGACCTCTCTGTGCAGCGTACACCCTCATGGGATGCACCAAATCCAAGGGCGCTGGCAATTTCTCCCCACTTGTCTGAGCCCAGCCAGGTTCACTTCAAGAGTAGTGTTTTCCTTATTTATATTTCAGTGTGCATTTGTTGATCCTGTGGAAGAAGAGGTGTACTTGGGACCAAGTAAGCCACAAGACAGGAGGCTAAAGAGACCATGTTTTTCCGGGGACCAATGTTATAGGCTGAGGGCAGTAGGCTTCCAGGGTTTCCTCAGCACCAGAATCTCAGCCAAGGCAAATGGTTGATGACAGCTCGTATGGTTGATGACAGCTCGTAGTTATCTCAGGATCCAGCTGTTAAGAGATCATAGGAGTTGACATCTGGACCTCCCTGCAAAGCAGAGCATTAGAGTGTCTCCAGCAAGGGCCTTGCATTACCAAGGAAAGATAGGGACATGGATATGGTGTAGAGTAGCACATCATTGGTCTTTGAAGCTGTTTTCATATCCAAGCGAATTATATGAATTACTGCGTGCATACTTCGTTGTGTTAGGAATTGGTATCTGAGACTGAAGAAGACATCATTATCAGTCAGGATAAGCTAGGCTGCCCTGCAGCAACAAGCCCTAAAATCACAGTGGCTGAAAATGGTATTTGTTTCACATTGTATTAGTCAGGGTTCTCTAGAGGAACAGAATTTATAGAATGGAGATATATATATATATATATATATATATATATCAGAGAGGGAGGAGGGATTTATTAGAATGGCTGATAGGCTGTGCTCCAGCTAGGTCAATAATAGCTGTCTACCACAGGAAAGTCCAAGAATCCAGGAGTTATTCAGTGCACCAGGCTGGATGTCTTGGCTGGTCTTCAGTATATGCCAGAATCCTGAAGATGTAGGCTCTAATGCCAGTGTAGGAATGGACTTGCCAGCAAAAGCAAGCAGGCAAAGAAAGCTTCCTTCATCTATGTCCTTTATATAGGCTGTTAACAGAAGGTGTGTCCCAGATTAAAGGTGGATCTCCTCAAAAGACCAGGATTAAAAGTGAGTCTTCCCACTTCAAAGATTTAATTAAGAAACACCCTCATAGGTGTATCCAGCCACTTGGGTTTTGATTACATATACAGTCAAGTAGACAACCAAGCATAGCTGCCCCACACCCACCGCGTTCCCACTGAAGACTGGCAGGAGGTTCATTGTTAATTGGGAACCCAGATCACAGGAATCCATCTCTGATGTTGTGAACTGCTAGACTGGAGGTAAACAGAATCCTCTACAAGTCATCCTACTGCTGACGGTGCCTGTTCACTCAAGAGAACAAGCAGTATACTCCTAAACGATATGTGAGGAACACTAAGAAAACTTGTGAGAAAGGAAAATGGCAATGGTTAATAGATACCACAGCAATCCCTTCCAGAAACTCTCAAGCTTGTTAGCCACACAGTGAGTCCCAAGCCATGCCCATGAAAGGGCTAACTGACTCTGTTTTAGTGAGGTTTCCTGGAAGAACATATGTGAAGATGGTATGCATTAGCTGTGCTGATGGGGGGGAAAATGGGGGAGCATAGAGATTGGAGAGAAGGTTAAGAAAGGGGGGCATCTGAAGCACAGGAACAACCCAAGCAAAGATGGCATGGTACGGATGCAGTTATTCATTTCTGGAGCATGAAGGAAGGGGCAGGATGTAGACGAAGTGGGCAGAACACTGATGGATGGGGTACCCACCAGAGAAGACTGCTCGGACATGGGTTTAAGCTAATAGAAATCTTTTTTGACTACACTGGGTGTTTAGGATCCTAGTGTAGCATGAAGACATTCTCAGGGTGAGCTTTTAAGCACAAAAACCAAATCCTGGGTTGACATACTCCAGTTAAAAAGAACAGTTGGCCAGAAGTAGAACTATAGAAGCTAAAAAGCAAGGTTGGGTGCATTCAGAGACTTCCCAGAACTATGGACTTGGGTGGATTAGGTCTTTTTGTTCTAGCAGGTGGTGCTGTGCTGAGTTTGATGGTCTGAATGGTACTTTCGTCATGGAGTCAGTTGTGCTAAGGTCTGTTACCCTAGGGTAAGGGTAACAGGAGTTGGCACTCAAGGACTTGCTACAGTGCTAGTCTCCTGGTACTGCTGAGCAGGTCTTCCTGCCTTCATCCATCATCTCCTGTGAGATCTAAGGGTTACCTGTGTCAGGAATACCTGGGGCACTGTTTAAATACATACCCGTGCTGGTATTACCTGGTCCTACTGACCCACATGGAAGGGGAGGGACTAGAACTTTAAACAGTATCTTCAGGAGAATTTGCCCCCAAGGTTTTGTTGTTTTCATCTTTTTCAATTTCTGCCCTCCACCCCCCCACGCAAACAGCTGGAGAAAAGCACCCATGCACCCAGCACCTCCATCAATATCACTCACAAGTTGCTTTGTCCTTACTGACTGAACCATTTGCAGGTAAGCAGCAGATTTCCCAGTTATCCAGAAACCTCAACACCTTGAAGAACATGTGCACTGTCTCCTCTGTGTTACATTTAGTGGCTGGCTCTACCTTACAGCCCATATTCACATTTCCCCAGTTGCCCTCAAAGTGTCTCTGTGTATTTGTAACCAGCTTCCGAGGCAGCTGAAGTCTGAGGTTGACTCTCTGATATGCCTGACTTCCATCACAGTGCCGGTCACCGACCTGGTGGTCCTTGCTGAGGTACCCAAACTGTGCAGCCACCTTCTCGAGAGTGAAGGCAACAGCGTTCCTCAGGGGAACAGCCCGTGATGGTGGTTTCCATGATGGGCAACAGGGCGCCCAAGGGGAACTGCCAACTCCTCTAACAGTCTGCCATGCTGCACAGGGCAGCCTCCTGACTGGCTTCCAGAAGGACTGGCCAAGGGGCAGTGGGGAACACAGTGACGGAACAGCCTGTGACCACCCCCTCTGTACCCGAGATCTAGATGTGACGAGATGCCTGTCCTCCCATATCTAACCTCTGAACAGGCTCAGGTTGTCACTGGCAAGCAAGGACCAGAGACACAAGCCAGAGTCAAAAGCTGTCACATCTGGGACTCCCCTCTGGTAGGCCAGGAGTCAGGGAGAGGACCCCAAAGACAGTGCTTCCAAGACTGCACTTCCCAATGCGGTGCGGGTGGCAAGGCTAGAACATCCTGGTTCTTCAAACCCTACACCCTGTGGTTCTCTCTGGAAAAGGAGGTTGAACCCACACAAAGATGGGTTCACATCCTTGTGAACGACTCACACCCAGAAAACTGTTCTTGGAGAATCACCAATTACTGTTACTCCTACATGGAATCTGCAGATCCCCCATCTGTAGTTGGTGTTTTTTTTTTTTTAACTCTTTAGGGGACTGCCACCCAGCTCTCAAATAAATGCATAGAGACTTATTCTTACTTATGAATGCCTGGTTGTAGCTTGGCTTGTTTCTAGCCAGCTTTTCTAACTTAAATTATCCTATTTCTCTTTTAAATATATTTTGCTTCTGAGCTTTTTACCTTTCTTTATTCATACATCTTTCTTTCCTACTTACTCTGTGGCTGGCTGTGTGGCTGGGTGACTGGCCCCTGATGTCCTCCTCTCCTCCTTTTCTCCCTTCCCAGATTTCTCCTCCTCTTTATTCTCTCTGCCTAGCAGCCCTACCTATCCCTCTCCTGCCTTGCTATTGGCCATTCAGCTCTTTATTAGACCAATCAGGTGTTTTAGGCAGGCAAAGTAATACAGCTTTACAGAGTTAAACAAATGCAACAAAAATGCAACACATCTTTGCATCATTAAATATTCCACAGCATAAACAATGTAATACATCTTAAACTAATATTCCACAACATCCACCCACAGCTTGGTGCATTCCAGATGTATCTTTGTGTCCATGAGCCTCAGTGCTAAGCAGGAAATGTGGCACACCAACACCAAAGGCAGATTTCCATAGCAGACCCTGAGCAAACTCAGGGTGGGCTTTACCAGACACTCTTGCCTCTCAGCGCCCCAAACATTTCTATTCAACACACACCTTGTGAGCCTTTGCCCAGCTTTCAAGGCTCTCCTCCTGCAGGGGTCAAGGTCCTCCTACAGAGATCAAGGGTACCTTCCAACTGTTTCAGCTATCAAGAGCTCTTCTATCTCATGGCCTCCCATACATATAAATTCTTAACCATCACCCCCAAACACACACACACACACACACACACACACACACACACACGAGTTAGAAATTTTCTCTTTGAAACTAGAGGGTTTACCATCATGATAAACTTAAAAAAAAAAAAAAAGATTCCTAGCTATCACAAACGAACTAACTTAAAAGTTCTCTTAATGTGATTTATATCAGAAAAGGCCTGCCAACCAACTTGCTGAGAACAATGGGACAGGCTCAACATGGGTAAATCACAATGTTCTTTATTTGTAGATTTTCACTTCACTAAGTCTCTCATCTTCCATTTCTCACCATTAGACAAAAATGTGTCCTTCATACAAGCACAGAAAATATTAAACAATGAATCAGAAATAAATATTGCACAGTTAATGACCAAAATAGAACTGTGGTTTTAAAGATCACACTAGACAGGCCAAGAAGACTGTCAGTACTGGTCGCCAATAAGTCATCTTAAACCACTGAAAGAAAAATTCCCTCAGTGCTCAGTAGTATTACACAATGCATTGAAAACAAGGTATAACCAACATTCCTTAGCATTCTTATTATTAAAATCAGAGTAGCATAGATTTTTTTTTCAAGTTATTCTCAAGAGGAATGAGGAACATGTGTAGAATGAAGGAAACTCACTAAGCACGTGACCTGCTTCTGGCTACATGATCCCTTACATGCTCAAAAACAGGAGCACCCTGGTGGAGCAGAAGAATCTGTTTAGGGCCCAGCTCTAAGTCAAGAGCCTCACCTACTATGATCAGCTATTACCTCAAAGTAAGCTGGGAAGTGAGCAAGGATGAGGTTCAGGATGTATAGTACAGGATGAGATTCAGGATGCAGTATGGGATGAAGTTCAGGATGAGGTTCAGGATGTGGTTCAAAGAGCCTGATCATTGGTGCCCACCAAGTAGATGCTCCACAAACCTGGTCTTGGGCAGTGACTGTTATTAAAGGGGTCTACAGTTTAACTCAATGCTAGGTTAATGTGCCAACTACAGAACACAATGGGAGCTGATGCTGCCCACGTGTGTATTACAGGGATCAGCACTGCCTGGCCCACAGGAGTCCGACAGTTCTGGGGCAGGAACTAGAAAAAGGCAGCAAAAGCAACAAACAAGACAGAGATGTGTTCTCTCTCTGCACCTGTGAGTGCCAAGTGAAACGTGTTCCCAGGTGCTCCGTTTTTTCTTATCATAGTTCAGGCACTACTAATTCTTGGCACAGCAGTGTGGACTGATTTGGACACTTTGCCACAAAGCAGCTTTACTGGATATCATGTTTGAAGAGTACTAAGAATTCTGAGCATGGAACCTGGAGAGGACTAAGGGGTAAGGGCAGAAGAGGTCAGAGATGTGGGAAGGGGAAATGTCTCAAGGTATACTAAGAGAAAGAGAACAGGCCCTGCCCAGCTGTTCCAGGCAGATCCACAACCAATAGGCAAGGTCACTGGGAACAGTTCTGGCTCAAGATAAGCAGAACCAGAGAGCCTGAGCATAGCTGAGGCTGGGCCAGCAGTGGACTCCAAGACACTGGCCAGGTAGAGCAGTTGAGGGTCCCCACTGAGGAGATTGAGGTATTTAATGTGCTGACTCTGTCCATGATTCTAGACATTGGCTTCCCACTTCAGGAGTAATTTTTCAAATACACATCTTTGAAAAGCAGTATCAGCACCTTGATTCAGACGAAGAGCTTCAACATACCAGGTCTTAGACTGGTTGGCCTTGGTGGAGCAAGACTGTTGGCTAATTTAGGTGGAGCGTCAACACTTCACATCTTCTGACACCAAAGAACC